GAGTTGTCAATATTTATTTTAGCAGTTTTGGAGGTTTTAATTGACATTTTAAAATTAACATTTAAAACCTGTGGTTACAGATATATGTAACCACAGTTATATATTTATGTATATAATATATAGCATATACGTTACCACAGTGTTAAATCTATATAAAATATATAATATATATTATCACAGTTTTCAAATGTTAATCTTAAAGGTTTTATATGTACATAATACAAAATTTTTCACTTTAACAATTTTTAAATGTACAATTAAGTGGAATTAAGCACACTCACAATGCTGTGGAAACATCACTGCTGTTTCCAAATGTTTTTCGTGATCTCAAAGAGAAATTCTACATCCATTAAGCAATAACTCCACATTTTTCCTGCTTCTCAGCCTCTGGTAACGTCTAACCTACCCTTTGTTTATATAAATTTCCTAATTCTAGATAGTTAATATATAGGAAATCATAAAATATATTTCCCTAGGCTGGACGTAGTGGTTCACACCTGTAATCCTAGCACTTTGGGAGAATGAGACAGGTGGATTGCCTGAGCTCAGGAATTTGAGACCAGCCTGGGCAAAATGGTGAAATCCCATCTCTACTAAAATACAAAAAATTAGCTGGGCATGGTGGTGTGTGCCTGTAGTCCCAGCTACTTGGGAAGCTGAGGCAGGAAAATTGCTTGAACCTGGGAGGCAGAGGTTGCAGTGAGCCGAGATCACACTACTGCACTCCAGCCTGAGTGACAAAGTGAGACTTCATCTAAAAAATATATAAATATAAATATATATATTTGATATTTCCCTTTGTGTCTGTCTTCTTTCATTTCGCCTAATGCTTTCAAGGTTCATCCATATTGTAGCATGTGTCAGATTTTTACTCCTTTATATAGCTGAATAACACTTCATTGTGTGTATAGACCACATCTTATTTATCTGATCATCAGCCGATGGACATGTGGGTTGTTTCTACCTTTTGACTATTAGAAATAATCTTGCAATAAACACTGGGCTACAAGTATCTGTCTGATTTCCTGCTTTCAATTATTCTGGGTGTATACCTGGGGGTGGAATTGCTGAGTCATATGGGAATTCTATATTTAATGCTTTGAGCAACTGCCCAACAGTGCTTTGCAGCAGCTGCAGTATTTTACATTCCCATAGCAATATCAAAGCCTTACAGTTTCTTCAAAGCCTTGCCAACACTTAATTTCTGTTTTGTTCTTCTTTTTAAATATTATTATAGCCATCCTGGTAAATGCGAAGTGATACCTCATTGTGGTTTTGATTTACATGTTTCTAATGACCAATGATGTTAAGCATCTCTTTTTGACCTTTTACTTTTTATTACGTATACTTTAGGTATATAACATGATATTATAAGATACAGACCTATAGGAAAATAGTTACTATAGTGAAACAAATTAATATAGCCATCATCTCACATAGTTACCCATTTACTCCCTGTGGCAATAGCAGATACAATCCACTCCTTTAGAAAAATATCTGAACACATTATTATTAACCATAGTCCTCATGTTATACCTTAGACCTTTAGGCTTCTTCAACCTGCCTATCTGCTATCTTGTATCATTCAACCTAAATGTCCCCATTTCCTATTCCCTCCCCATGCCATCCTCCCAGTAACCACTATTTCATTCTCTCTGTATATTTGACATTTTATAAATTATAAAAATATCATACACTATTTCTCTGTGTCTGCCTTATTTTACTTAGCATAATGTCCTCCAGGATCATCCATGTTGTGGCAAATGGCAAGGTCTCATTATTTTTTAGAGCCAAATAATATTCCATTGCACAGGTATGCCACAGTTTCTTCATCCATTTGTCTATCAGTAGACACTTAGGTTGTTTCCACATCTTGGCTATTGTAAACAATGCTGCAATGAACATGAGAGTGCAGATATCTCCAAGAGATAGGGATTTCATTTTCTTTGTGTGTATACCGAGAGATTGCTGGGTCATATGATAATTCTACTTTTAGTTTCTTTGGGAACATCTATGCTGATTTTCTTAATGATTGCATCCATCTACTTTTCCACCAATGGTGTACAAAAGTTCCTTTTTCTCCATACTTCTGAAACTTATCTTTTTAATAATGGTTATCTTAATGGATGTGAGGTGCAATCTCATAGCAGCTTTGATTTTCACTTTTCTAGCAATTAGTGATGTTGAGCATGTTGGTGGTTTTTATGTCTTCTTGGCAGAAATGTCTGTTTAGGCCCTTAGCTCAATTTAAACAGGGTTATATGTTCTCTTGTCAAGGAGTTGTATGGGGTCTTTATACGTTTGGTATATTCATCTCTTATCTGATATGGTTTGCAAAGATTTTTCCAAATCCATGGGTTGCATTTTCATTTTGTTGACAGTTTTATTTACCTGCAGAAATTTTTAAGTTTGATGTAGTCTCATTTATTTTTGCTTTTGTAGCCTGAACTTTTTTTATGATACCAAAGAAATCATTGCCAAGGCCAATGTCAAAGAGCTTTTCCAACATGTTGCGTGTAATAAACTGAACTTAGAAGACCAAAACATTAGACACTAAGCATCTTTTCATATATTATTGATAATTTGTATGTTTTCTTTTGAGGTAAGGGCTTTTCTTTTCTGGTTGTTTTCTAGCTTCTCTTTGTCTTTAGATTTTAGTAGTTTTACTATTATAAAGCTAAATGAGGTTGAGGTTTTACTTCACTTAGGAGATTTGTTACTGTTAGTGTTTTTAGTGCATATTTTTGAAACAGTTTTAATATACTGTAAAACAGAGAATAGGTAGATGTATTGACATTGCTGGGAAACAGAGTTCTTAGAAAGGGAAGAGAGATACAAGTAAGAAGTAGGAAAAGACGAAGAAGGAATCTCTGGTGTTGATTTGAATGGGAGGTATCAATATGAAGTTATTATTTTAAAATTATGTATTTTCTAACTCTAACCATACAATATGTAAGAAGCAATATAAAGCTGATGGACAATAACTTTATATCTTTGCAGTCGTGTTCCCAGTAGTAATGGGCAGAATTATTGCATGGTATTTAATTTTTAAATGCTTTTAAAAGAAACAACAGACAAAGCGTCTTCTAAATCTAGAGCAGAGAAAGTAAAAAACATCTTTTGGCAGAAATCAAGGAAGCTTCAGGACCCAGAAAACATACCAAAAAATCCATAGAACCAGTTTCACGGGACTCCCACCAGCCAAACACAAGTATCTAAACATTAAAGAAGAATGAGGATACTAAATTATAACAAATTTTTAAAACCTGTAAGCCTATAACAACAATAAAAAGATGGAAGAATCTCTTCATTACAGAATAAGGCTAGTTAGTAAATTTAATTAGAAAATCATTGTAACCATTAATGTAGTTATAGACAGAGACCATCAGTTGATGCCAAAAGCAACATGTGAAAGGTTATTGGAGACCAAGATATCTATATTGTGTCCAAGTATCACTCCACTAATTGCTTATTAACTATAAAAGGTTAATGATACCTTCACAATGGAGAGATCTGATGTCTATGATGTCAAATTTAGTATTCAAAACTGGGTAAAGATAACATGGTATGTTCTTGTAGTTGGTCAGATGCAATGGGAAACACACATTGACTATGGCATGGTAGTTGCCAAAATATTTAACCTCTGATAATGTGGAAATCCTGATGGTGGGTCATTTTACCAGTCAGCTGATATGAACTCTTACAAAAATTAAGGCCATGAAAATTGTAAAATATAAGTGGGCCAAAGAGATGTCTAATTTAAAAGTGGCTAAAAAGACCTGATAACCAAAATAAATGCATAATCTTTGATAATGTCCTGTAGGAAAAAAAATCAAAACCAAAGGACACATTGGTACAACTGGAAAAAGGTGAACGTGAAGTATAGATGAGAAAATAATGTTATATGAATGTTAAGTTTTTGAGTGTAATAAAGGCATTTGTGGTCATCTAAAATAATGGCCTCTTTTTAGGGAAACACACGGAATTATTAAGAATGAAGTGTTTTATTTCAGAAATTGAGGGTAAAATCCACAAAAAGAGATAAAGCAAATGTGAAAAGATATTAATAATTGAAATATATTTTAATATTCTGTTTGTTGTATGATTCAGCTCTTCCAAAGGTGTCAGTTTTTAACATACAATTAGAAGAAAATCTTAAGATCTCAAAAGGTTGGCATGATTTCAGTTTGGTGGTGGGTATTTATTATATTCATTTTCAATATCTTTGAAATATTCTATAATTATCGTAAAATGAACATACAAGATAAGATTTCTTTTAGTCCTATAATGTACTTTTTCCATAGGGATAGGCTGTGATGTTTTTTAAAGTCCCCCCAAAAGATAAGAGAATTTATAGTCTGAGGACAAAAAGCTTGATATCTCTGAGATGAGCACAAAACTTGGCTAACAATGCATATCAAGAAGCCATTTAGTAAATACACAGGACTGTTTTAACTGAAACAGGAGATTCTGAGTTCTCTGCAGGTTGGTCAAGGATGCACAGATGTTGGGGAGCTAATGAATGTATGCAGAGGAGGGATAGTGCTTGTCCTAAGTTGTGGTTGGATAATATGTGTTTGTGTAACAGGGACGGGGCTCTAGAAGGACAGAAGGATCAGATGGAGCTGGAAGGAATTCCCTTCAGTTCCCCACAAACACTGTCTGATAGTAGCCCTGATCTAATTTGATAATTTAGAAATCCCATCACCATCCCTGGGCCATGGATGGAGAATCTAAGGCCAGTGACTCTGAACCATTGGCCATCAGGAGGTACTGAGGTTTGATGGGGTCCAAATGTTTTTGAAACAGAGCCAAGTGTTGCCTGAAAAGTTGTGTTTAAAGGAAAAGTGTGGCCTCATCCTAGCATTCAGCATCTAGTTTTCAGGTGTTTTGAGTGGTCAGTAGAAACTCTTCTTTCTTCACTGATGCCAGTGGGTTCTATTCAGTAGTGAATTCTGAACTGTAGAACACTATTGAGTGGAAAAGCTTCTAAGCCTACTTGAAGGGCAGATGGAGAAGAGCCAGGAGCCAACCTGAATGTGCACAGACCCATGAAAAGAGAGAACAGCTGCCTCCTTGGGAGAACATCAGAGAAACCTTAGCAATGTGCCTCTACCCTACACCTAACCCATTCTAGTGTGTCCTGGATAATGGACAGGAGGATGTAAGGGAAATGTAGGATAGAGGAGTGGACAATTGTAGATGTTTCCAGATAGGCTTATCTCAAATTGCAGTGACTCTGCAAATATTCTTAACAAGAACCAGATTTCCCAGAACTCTGATATTTCCTTCCCTAAGCAATAAGATGCCCCTTTGGGCCCTGACACAATCATGGTTGTTATTTGTTTGTTTGTTTTTCTACTCAGGAAGCAGGGGAGGCCTGAGAACATATGCGGAATGTCTTTCCTAGAATTAGGATGCCCCAATTTCAAGTATATCACATGCAGCCTGATAAGTCCTGTCTGCAGCCACCAAGCCTCCACCCTCTCAATGCTGTTGTCATCCAGGGCCTTAACCCCTGGTCACAAAGATGGAAGAGGTAGTGACACTGTGATGTGAAGACACTTTCCATCATGAAATTATTAATTGGTGCCAACATAAGGTGAACTCCGACTAGCAGCTTTTCTATTGCAATGATAGACAATTTATATGAAAAAGAGATGGTAATTCTGATAGTTCTGATAATTCTACAACCACAGATCTTCACCTGATAACCTTGACATGTGGCTGTCCCCTAGGTTTTAGGAGCTTGGATTCCTCTAGGCTGAGTTGTACTATTCCTCTTCTCTGAACACATGTGTCCTTGGTTAGTTCATTCATATTGACTCTCGGGGCTTCTCCAATCCCTCAAGCCTTCCCACCCTACTATCCAGACAATGAGAAGTGTGTCACAACTAATGCAGCACAATTTGTAAAATAATTGCTGGATACTAACACTGCAGTTCAATTGTAAGATATAATAGAAGGGTAAGTGTTTAAGATTCCAGAAGCTCTGTTCAATTTTGCATTTACTGTTAGATATTCACACTCAGGTTTTCAGGAATTAGAGTGTTCTTCACCCATTTTGGTTAAGATATCAGAACTTACTTTCAACATATTGGTGACCAGGATCTACAGAGAACCCTGGTGAAGGCTTGATCCGTAATGCATAACGAAGATTGATAACTGCAAAAAGGGAACTGGTCATTGGCCTTCAGATAAAATGAATTCTCCCCACTTTGTGTTCAGAGAATTATTTTATCCCTTTAGTCTAGAGTTTGTCAGCTAGTTCAATGCACTTCTACGATAAAGCTGGGTCAATTACCCTAGAGGACTGGGAGCATAGAGGACCTGATAGAAAGGAAATACCCAAAGAGAAGGATAAATCAAGAGGTCACTAATATTTGTTTTGAGTTTCCTTTGAGGCTTCCGAGTAGAAATGTCCAGCAGAGGATGGGCCTAGAGATGTAGTGAGAGACCTAATCCCCCAAGCCCTGAATATGTGAGTGAGAACACTTGTATGAATTACACAGTCTATAAATATGGTAAAGCACCTTTGTGCTCTGTTTTAACTTATAATAATTGATTTCTAAGAATGTAGGCGTTTGTGGAGGCCATGATGTCACTGTGGGAACTGCCATGAGAGGACAAGGACGTCCCTCCTCCTCTGCTCCTGCTCACAGTGACCCTGATTGGGCAAAACTCCCATCCTGCCCTGACCCTGCCATAGTCACCAGGCTCCTCTGCTGGGTGGCCCTCTGTCTCCTGGGAGCAGGTGAGTCCTAGGAACACCATGGCACATTGGATATCTCAGTGATTATTTCAACTATTTCCTTCTTTCTATTTTCAAATTTTGTCTTTTTCCTTCACAGAACTCACAGAAGCTGGAGTTGCCCAGTCCCCCAGATATAAGATCACAGAGAAAAGGCAGGCTGTGGCTTTTTGGTGTGATCCTGTATCTGGCCATGCTGGCCTTTACTGGTACCAGCAGATTCTGGGACAGGGCCAAAGCTTCTGATTCAATATCACAATGAGGATAACTCACAGTTGCTTAAGGATCGATTTTCTGCAAAGAGACTCAAAGGAATAGAATCCACTCTCAAGATCCAGCCTGCAGAGCTTGGAGACTCAGCCATGTATCTCTGTGCCAACAGCTTAGCCACAGCATTGCAGAGACACTTCCCTCCTGTGCAGAAAACTGCAGGGTTCCTCTCCTCTATCAGCTCACAGCAGCCTTTCCTTATTCCTCATCTTCCCAGGGAAGAAGCAAGTTTTCAGATACAGTTAGGATTCATATCATGGGAGAAAATGAACTATTTCTTAAAACATGAAGACGATAATTCTTGTTTTTATGTCTCAGGGATTTGAAACACTTTTCAGGGACAACTCAAGAAATCTAAAGTGACTCATCAGAGACTTAGTCCTCAGGGGTAGTGATGGTTTCTCTGTCATAAAAGTATGTGCCCATGAAACACATGCAATATACTTAATAATATAGATGGTGATGGCACCAAGTAATGAACAGCAGGCCCCTCTCTGTAATTGTCAGCATGTGAATGACCTGGTTGTTATCCTTGGTGACAACCTGGCTCTCTAGCAAAGTCTCAATACGCAGTATGTGTTCGAAAATCTTTTCCCTTCTGTTTTATTTTTGGTAAAGTATGGTAATAGTAATGTTGTTAATGATAGTGATTATAATTTCAGCTATGTTATTCAGCCCTTTTTCAAATTCAGAGAAATGCACATGAATCGATACCTTGGCACCCAGTCCCAAATCTTAGCTCCAAGTGAATTCTCCTTCTCTTGAACTCTCTAACTCTTCTATGTAATCATCCCAGCCCAAGAATATATATAGACCTGGACCAGTCAATTCAGAGTCTATTGAGGACATTTCTGCTTGTCTGCTTGTATATTAAAAGCTCCTTAGTGCATTGAAATATTCCTTGTAAGAACTTCTGAAGCAATCAGTTGCCCTGATCAATTGCCCCCTCTGATAATACACTCTGTGTGTCTAGCTCCATATTCACTACTCTACTTCTGTCAAAATGCTCTAATATTAGAAATCTTTCTGAAGTGTTGGTTAGAATTACTTAAAAAGCAGTTTGCTGAATATTGCCTGAAAGCATTGTCACTGTCCATTAGCCCCTCCTGAATTCCTCCCCCTCCTTATCCAATCTAACACCTGATGGCAGTCAGACTTTATGCTCATTTGCTCATTTGCTCATTGCACACCTCCCTCTTTCCTTTCCTCCACTGATAAAAACCTCACCAATGGGATGGATGAAAAACCACCACTCACCGTCTCCTTGTCAAAATTTCTTTTTTTTTCTTTTTCCAATCTGCTATGTTACTTATAGTTAGGAACTCCCTCATAACATTTCCTGAGCTCACTTTTTATTATTTGAACATGGGACACAGAGTTGTTTCAGAGTGTGTCTGATCATTTTCACCTCTGAGATCTTCGTGGGCTGTTTTGGTTGATTTTCTTTTTGTGCTACCTCTCAGTCAGGGTGCTTGATTTTTCATGGTGTTTGTATTTCTCCCTACGAGTCTAATAACGTTTGACACTGTGCCAAACACTATGGTTGTAGAAATAATTTTGGGTGTAGGATGGACCATATTTTTCTCCAGAGATAATTTTTCTGTGCTTCTGAAAGTGCCTGTAGGTATAAACAATCAGGCTCGCTGCATCACAATTTAAGGCTTGAGGTGTCCTGGAGCACCTGGAGAACAGGTTTGTCTCCGGCTCATTGTTACATTGGAATTCAGCAATGACACATTCCATATGTTCTGGCCTTTCCTTTACCCCGATGGCCTGTGAGTCAGCTTCCTGGGTGCTGAGTCAGGATCCGCAAATGCCCTCCAGCGCAGGAGGACTGCCATGCTCACCTCCCAGGGCTCTTGCCTTCCCCATCATTCCAGGCAAGTTATTCCTTATTATTTCTTTAGGACTTTAATTAACTGAAGTTTTTAATGTTGTTTTTGATATTTTTTCCAACTGTGTAGATAACAACAGAGTAAGTGCCATTATCCTTAATTATTGGGATTAAGGTGAAAATAACTTTACTTGGAATTTTAATTTTCCTTTAATTGTAATGTTAGATTCTTAGTCTGTGATTTGTCTGATATTTAACATAAATGGTATAGAGATGTTAAACTCTGATTTCAATCAAATACTTATTTTTTAAAAACTTAAAGGACATTCATAATCAAATTGGGACATACCTTTGTTTGGGGCATGAAATTAATAGAGTATTCTTATATTGTTATTTATTTCTATCACATAACCTCTGTGTTCCATAGGACCATATGGCAAGATGGAAAACAGAATAAAGAGATTAGGTCAGATTAGTCTTCAAATTAATTTAATTGCTTCACTGTGGGGGTGCATTTGTGCTCTTTTATGAAAATTCCAGAGGGGCAGTGGTCAAAATTTCAGGGAGTAACTGATATGTGGCTATTGTTTTACCCCATTTAAAGCCAATTTCCTGGGCAACAGTTTGTTCCACATACCCCATTTTGTGGGGCTCCCCTAAAGTAGTAATCCTGATTTAATCTTCCTATTCCTTGCCAAATTTTGTCTATGGGAAGGGAAATCAGTTACGGTATTTGCTCTTTTCATTTTACTTTAGTCTGTCCTTATTTTCCTGTTTTTCTCCTGGTTCCCTAGAGAAAAGCTAGATTCTTTGGTGCTTCTTCAACATGAGCTAAGATCAGTGGGGAACTTTCTCTTCCACACAGGGTTGGCTGGCAGTTTGGAGGAGATAGAGAATGGGTTAAATTCGGATTCTGCATCATGTTTCACACTGAGACTTGCTGCTTATCAGTGTTAAAGCTGACATTATGTCTCCACCTTTCTGACTTCACCATCAATGTCTCAGGTGTTTCTATCCTACCCCACAGCACCAATATTATTTCTTGGCCTTCTAACACCCACTAATCATAATGTCCTGTATCCCCTGTACTCAGTGAAACAAAGCACAAGTCCCTGTGTCCTGGCAAAAGAAAGCACATTGGTGATGTTCTGGCCTACTGGCCACTAGGAGGCACTGTGGCTTCATTGTCATCCAAAGTCTATGGGGAGGAGCTGAGACTGCTCTCTGGAAGAAGATCGTTAAGGATAACCCTGAGGCTGGACCTAGATTCAGGAAGTTGGTTTTCAGATGTCTTGAATGATGACTTGGAATAAAGGAATTAGTAACCAACCCTTTCTGGACCCAAACCAGCCCAGGCCAACCCTACCTTCTCTGTTGAATGTAGAGAGTAGAACTGCAAGAAATGGAGGTGCTAGCCTGGACCACATCAGAAGGAAGGACCCTGTCCCCCGGGAGCTGACGATCACAGTGACGCCACCAGCATATCCACTTAAGAGGCATAGTCCAGTGTGACCCCTGGAAGAAGATGAGTCCTGGGTAGACATAAGAAGATGTTTTTGTCTAGGCTTCCTTTGGCCTGATTTTAAATTCCTTCCATGTGATCATGCACCTGTCTCTACCTGTATTGTGTATCTGGCTTCTGCCTCTCACCCATCAGTCCCATGGCTACTATAAGGTACTCAATTTTTATTGACACAAATTACCACTAACTTGGTGGCTTGCAACAACAAAAAATTATCTTACAGTTCTGGAGGTCAGAAGTTCAAAACCCAGTAAAAATCAAAATCAACACCTTGGGAAAGCTGCATTCCTTCTCAAGACTCTAGGAGAGAACTGTTCTTCTCTCCTTTTCAGCTTCTAGGACAGGCTTCTAGGTAAGGTATGTTTTGGAAAAGGTACTATGAATTGATAATATCAAAACCAATCTACATGGAGCCTCTGCAAATGTACATCTGTATCTCAGATCAATTATAGTTGAGTTCAGTTCTGCCTGATTCATCTCCCAGAGGTGCAGCCTCTTCTTAAAGAACTTGGGGGTGGTGGCCCATTCAGTGATGTCACTGACAGATGCATCCTGTGGGGATAAAATGTCACAAAATTCACTTCTTTGCTCGTACTCACAGAGGCCCTGGTCTAGAATGTTCCACATCTGCTCTCACTCTGCCATGGGCTCCTGGACCCTCTGCTGTGTGTCCCTTTGTATCCTAGTAGCAAGTGAGTCCTCAGAACATTTACCATTGTCATGCTGGGCTTCTGTAGGGATGATGCCCGACATTTTCTTTATTCTGGCCTCCAACTCTGTCTTCTTTCATAGAGCACACCGATGCTGGAGTTATCCAGTCACCCCAGCACAAGGTGACAGAGATGGGACAAGAAGCGACTCTGAGATGTGAACCAATTTCAGGTCACACCCAGCTTTTCTGGTACAGACAGACCATGATGCAGGGACTGGAGTTGCTAATTTACTTTAACAACAAGGATCCGATAGATGATTCAGGGATGCCCAAGGATCGATTCTCAGCTCAGATGCCTAATGCATCATTCTCCATTCTGAAGATCCAGCCCTCAGAACCCAGGGACTCAGCTGTGTACTTCTGTGCCAGCAGTTTAGCCACAGCGCTGCAGAATCGCCCCTTTCCTGTGCAGAAACCCTGCCGGTGCCCCTTCCCCTTCTAGCTCCCAGCAGTCCTAAGCAAAGTCTTTCCTGTTCCTCCTTCCCCATGAGAAAAAAGTGGTTTTGGAGTGTGACAAAGACAAAATGAGAAGGTATCAACATAAGAAACCTTATGTAGGAAATAGGTTTGGAGGATTCCTCAAAAATTATTCCTGCTCAAAACGCACAGGAGTAAGATAAACCTTGGCTACTCATACTGTAGATTTCCCTGGCTTCCTGCATTTGCCATCCCATGGGAATGGTGGGTGCTCCCGAGAAAGGAGCTTCCCTTTCTCAACCTTGCCCTTGCCCTCAACGTTTCTCATCTGGTCTGCCAGTGTCTGCTGCTGTGTCTGCTGGTGTGTTCCTCTGCAATCTCGACATCCAGCCTCTTGTGTCTGATTCTGCTTAAGGTCTCCCATTTATATGGGCACAGGATGGAGGGCGTGGTGGACCAAAAGGCAACTTTTTGAGTGCAAAAACAGAAATACCTGTCCTCATTTAGGTCCATGGGCACAGGCCAGAGGGTGGAGCCCTCACCAGGGACCCTGCCCTTTTCCACCCAGCACTTCCCTTCCCCCCTCTTGAATCAAATGTTTTTTACTTGAATGAGGGAAATCCTCTCTTGGAAGATTTCAAGTGGTGGGGAATGTAAATTTGAGTAGAAGCAAACCATAGCTTAACTATTCTGAATTTCCTGACCTTCAAAATATTGGAAAAAATAGTATAATTTCTATAATCTTCATGGTTGTTTTTTTCCAAAATGTGTATCTACTTTATACCACAGTGAAAACAGAGTAAACAGAACCATTTGCTGCCTCATAGAGAAGGAAAGCATTTAATAGTGTCTTGAGTCATTAGAAGGATTGAACAATGTGAAGAAGGTGGTAGAAATAACAGGAGCAAATATATGAACAGGCATCAAATTGTGTAAGACTATTTTGTAAGGGTATGAAGTATATTTGATAAAGTAACATTTATATTATTCCGTCGTCAAAAATAGGATGAGCTATGGTCGAAATGTTTACAAATTCAAATGCCCTTCCGAAGCAAATTTTTCATCTGGTGAGCAATGGAGAATTGTGAAATGTATGAAAATTGAAAAGTTGCTTTAGGAAAACTGTCACTGTTAGAATAATTAAAGCTTCTTTCCGGCCTAACTGCGATACTTAGGAGAAGGATGTTCCAGGCAAAGGGAATAGCTTGGTCAGAGGCTCTAAGGCAGAAGCGTGTTTTGTGTATTTGAGGAATGGCCAGAAGGCCAGTGTGGTTGTAAAAAAATAAGCAGGGAAAAGAGGAACAGAGAGGAGGCAATGAATATAACAGGGAGGGGGATCACCTAGGACCTTGTAGGCCCATTCAGGCTGTAAGCTGTTCTCTGAGTGAAGTGGGAAGCTGCTGTATAGTTTAGCATAAGACTGACAACATCTAACCTAAAGAATCACTCTGACTTCTCTGTTGAGAGTAGACTCTGGTTTGGTGGCTACAATGAGGGAGGGCAAGCTTAGAAGTAGAGGAACCTAGGAGAAGACTATTACAATCACAGAAGATAAATCGAACAAATCCCCGGCAGGGGGGTTAGTGCCCTTCCCAACTCTGCCATTCATAGGAACCTATAGGGAGTTGGATTTAATTGGGGTTGATATTACAGTCTTAAATCTTTTTTTTTTTTTCTTCTAGAAACAGGGTTTTGCCATGTTGACCAGGCTGGTCTTGAACTCCTGACCTCAAATGATCCGCCCACCTTGGCATCCCAAAGTGCTGGGATTATAGGCATGAGCCACCACTCCTAGCCTCAAAGTATTCAAAATTTTGATGCATGGGTCCAAATAGAAATGAGACACAAGTGTGTCTGCATCTACCGTATCTGTGAACCTGTTTTCAGATTCTTATTATGCCTTTAAACCTGTGTCAGTTACCTGCTGATGTTTCTTTTTTCTCTTCTGTCTTTCCTACACACTCTACTAAGTAATACATCAGTTATTAATATCCTAGGGAATAAGGAGAGGTGCGTAATAAATTATAATAAATAAATAAGGAGAAGTGCATCTTAAACCTTAAAATATGATTAAAACAATGTAAGAATTAAAACATGAGAGTTTAAAAGTTGTGGGCTCTGTGAACGGCAGAGGGCAGAGAAATAGAAGAATTGTGGGAGTTAGTGAGGTAAACAGAAGGGAGGTAGTGGTAGAACAATAGGACCCTTTAAATAGAAATATTGAAAGATCTGTATTGTTCCTTAAATGGTCTATAATCATGGAAGCAAGTCTGAAAAGGACTGGAGAAGGGAAAGACTCAGGGTAGAGGAGGTCAAGAAACTCAGAAGCCTCGCTAGTGAACAAACTGTCTATGTGATGAATAGTATTAACAGTGATGACTGCATTAGTAGCAGGCAGAAGGACTGAATCAGAAAATTTCTGAAGGTAATAAGGGAAGTACAGTGAGAAGGGATAATATGATGAAGTAATATATATGAAGCAGCTGGGCTTTAAAGAAGGAAGAAGGGAAATGAACTGGGAGCAGCAGGGGAAAATTCTGCACTATTTCAGTCTTGAAAGTCAGGAAACCAACGTGGCAAAAAAAAAAAAAAAAAAAGGTAGGAGAATGACAAAGTGGACTTTGGCTTATGGCAGAACTCCAGCAAACTTCAATTGCCTTGGGCACTCATAATACAGGGATCTTTTGCCTCAGTTGTCAGTGCTACCATGGGGATTTAGAAGGAATCAGTATGTAAATATGACTATAAAAGAGAAACTATAGCCACTCAGAATGAATTACAGGCATTGTATAGAAACCTCTCTCATAAATAAAGAGAAAAACGTAAATTTGTGTTGTAAGGACATATAATCAGGGAGGAAGCAGGGCAACAGAAGACTGCACATGCCTGTCTCCTTTTAGATACCCCAGTGTGGATCCTTATGAGGAGGCCTCATCAGTGCTCTGTGAGTGTGCATAGCCTTTAGCCAGTGCCCAGCTCTTCTTATGCAGAATAGAGACAAATGGATCCTTAGATTCGGGGCCAGGTAGCTTACCTCTAATGTTCTAACCTGCTTGCTCCAGCTACATTTGAGACACTCTTTAGGAGTAATGAAAAAATCCCTAAATAAATGTAAAGTCGAAATTGGCATTACAAAGGAATGTCCACAATCGTAGTAAAGAACTTTCTTTTACAATCCAGAAAACTTGTGAGGGAAATTTCTGTTTGCAACTTAGAATTAGGAGAAAATGAAGATGGTAGCGTCGTTCAACCTTCCCTTGCACTCAGCCTTTCAGTCCACACATGATCTGATTCTTCCAGTATGCTGGGCAAAAACTCCGGCTGTCACATTGGCCCCTTGTCCTTGCAATAAGCAGAGGGTCTATTGAGTTGACTAATAGAAGCTGTCTGCAGCTGGCAAAACTGAAGGAGTGCGCTGTAATGCTTTCCCATTTGGGCTTTGGGAGCCCTAGATGCTGCCATGGGGTGGGAGCCCAGAAGCATCCCCAAGGCCTCTTCACATGCCCGTCTGCACGCTCCCTCTAGGGATTTGAGCATGAGGGCATCAAAGGAGTGAGTCACACCCCTGTCACATGCCCTGTGAGGGGAATAAGAGAATTCTCCCGTTTCAACTTAATTTGTAAAAGACCTTGTTAACAGGATGAAAAAGAAACCACAGCAACGAATAAAACATTTGTGAAGTAAATATCCAACGAAGGAATATTATCATGTTTATTTTGAGATTTGCAGAACTGTCCACTTAACACTTAGAATCATGAGCAATAATAAATGATTATTGCTTTAACCAGTGAGACTTGAGGGAGGCTTGTTATACAGCATTACTGTGCAGGTGTCAATTGATATACTCTATATTGCAGTATCGATTTCTTAAAATTGTCCTAACCATAATCCCATAGATTATTACTAATTCCAAGCTTGTTCTTTTAATGAAGAGTGCTGCTCAGCTCTAATGCCTTTGTTCTGTTTTCTATTTTCATTTCCACATAAGCACAAGTTTTAGCAGCTTTCAAACCTCCAGAAGCCCTTAACATTTCTGATTCTGAAAACATATTTTCTTGTTTCAGCATTTTTATTGTTATTTTTTATTCTCTTGTATGGTAAGGTACTCAGTTTACTATGTTGAATTAGTAATTCTTTAAACATTTCTGCAATTTTGAAGATACCATGGTCTTTAAACATTTTTGCATTCTGAAGATACCGTGGTCTTTGCAGTTCCTGTTTGCATGTCAATTCCTATGAACTATTTCTGGTGCCTCTGAGTCACTTCTCAGAGTGGTCATTGGCTTTTACTGAGGCTGATTCACCGATCTTTGGTCATTCTTGGACACATAAGCACAAATTCAACAGTGTGCTTTCCCAAAATATGTGATATTCAGGGAAATTACTTTTCATGTAAAATAGATGTGTCCTTTTAATATTGCCAGTAGATTATTCTAATTATGGACAAGTAATATCCAACAGACTTATTTGGGTTTAGTGACAAACATATTACTGTGTTCGCTCCTCAATTCAAATACAGAATTCGTATTTTGCATTATATAGCTGCAAGTTTTGAGGTTCTCCATCATATACTTAGCTATACAATAGTACCTACTCTTGTCTGGATATTTTCTAAAATCCTGGATGATTACAAACTTCTCCTTCATTGGTGAAAAAAAATTTTTAATGCAGGATCAAATCCTATATTAAGTCTTCCAGACAGTAAGAAGATAACTATTCAGGGTCTACCAGACGGGCAATTAGAAGCAGCTGTGGTCTGTGGCACTCAGGGAGAGGAATGAAATGTGTGAGTGAATTTAGCACTGTCAATTGAAATATTCAGGTTCTCACATTGGGAGTAACTAGGCAAACAACTTGACCTGCAGCAAACAAAGAAAAGCAGGGGGTTGGGGGTACGATGGCCCACCAGGAGCAGTACAGAGCCAAAGAAACCCCCACCCCCAGCCAAGAAAAGTAGTGGGTGAGTGTGCAACCCTGCCCAGGTAACCACACTTCTCCCCCAGATCTTTGCAACCCATGGATCTGGCGATCCCGTCACGAGCCCACAGCAACAGGGCCTTGGATCCAATACAGAGAGCTGTGTGGAGTCTTAGCAGAGCAGCTGCTCATGCACACACAGAGACCCAGGTATTTTACACATTCCACCCCCAGGATCCCCAGCAAGGTGGGAAATCTGTCCGCATATAACCCTAGGAAGGGGGCTGAATCCAGGAGTGAAGCAGCGTCATTCTGCAGGCCCTACTTACGCAGCATCTCACAAGTTAAGACCCACTGGCTTGGAATTCCAGACAGCCAGTGGAAACAGGCTAGAATCTCCCTGAGATAAGTCTGAATTCCCAGGGAAAGGGGTGGCCACCAACTTTGCAGTCCAGTAGACTCAGCTGTTTTAACCTGCCAGCTTTGGAGAATACAAATGGTCTGGATGAGGAAAGATCCCCATAATGAGGCACAGCTGCATCACCAGATCATGGCCAGACTGCTTCTTTAAATGAAATATTGATCCCTTCCTCATCACTGGGCAGGATCTCCCTGCAGAGGCTTCAACCATTCCAGCTAGGGTTCTACATTGAGAGCTCTGATCTCTCCCAGGGATGCAGCTCCTGGCAGGGAGGGGCAGCCTCCATCTCCACAGTTCAGTCAACTCAGGCCTTCCAACCTGCTGACTTTGTAGAATCCAAATGATCTGGATGAGAAAGGCTCCCCTCAATGCAGTGCGCCTGCTCTACCAAAAAGCAGATAGACTGCTTCTTTAATCAGTTCCCTGATCCTGTTTATCCCAACTGGGTGAGACCTCCCACAGGGGTCTCCAGCCACCTCCCACAGGTGTGTTCTGGCCAGCAACAGGTCAGTACCCCCCTGGGATGGAGCTTCCAGAAGAAGAAGCTGGCTGCCATCTTTGCTGTTTCATGGCCTTCACTGATGATACCTCCAGCATGGGAAAAAAAAACAAGGCAACTAAGGTCTGGAATGGACTTCTAGCAAACCATAGCAGCCCTACAATAAAGCGGCATGACTGTTAAAAGAAAACAAACAGAAAGCAACAACAAGAAGAGTTTCAATGAAAAAGACCCTCCAAAAATCCAGGTCAAAGGTCAGCAGCCTCAAAGATTGAAGGTATATATGCTCAGAAAAATGAGAAAGAATCAACACAAAAATGTTGAAAACTTAAAAATCAAGATTGCCTTTTCTCCTCCAAATGACTATAACATCTCTCCAGTAAGAACACAGAATTGGGCTGAAGCTGAAATGACTGAATTGAGAGAAGTTGAGTTCAGAAGGTGATAATAACGAACTTCACTGAGCTAAAGAAGCATGTTGTAACCCAACACAAAAAAAGCTAACAATCATGATAAAACAATACAGGCGCTGACAGCCAGAATAACCAGTTTAGAGAGCAGCATAATTGACCTGATACAGCCGAAAAATACAACACAGGAACTTTACGATTCAATCACAAGTATCAATGGTAGAACAGACCAAGCAGAGGAAAGAAACTCAGAGCTGGAACATTCTTTTTTAAATAAGATGGACAGACATGAATAGAGGGAAAAGAACAAAAAATAATGAACAAAATCCCCAAGAAATAGGGATTATGTAAAGAGACTGAACCCATTACTGATTGGGGTACCTAAAAG